GGTTCCCGGGAGGGCGTTAAAGAAAGAGCGTTTAGGGCGCCCGAGAACGGCTGGTTTATTATTTGGAGATCTTGGTTGGTTTGAAGGGATCGTGACACTTGTCCAGCCCATAATTTCAATAGACAGAATAGGGAATAGCCCATGGTCAAGTGCGCTGCTGCTTTGGGAATTAGTTGAGGGTTGACAATGCAGGGAAGGCATGGAGCACGGCCTGCCACCTTCTCGATGCACGACTTTTGCAAGCTACTAACTAGTGTATGCTGTTGTTTGGCCCCTGGAACCCAAGGTGTTTTAAACCGCGGACGTCGAATTCCCCAGAAGGTTACAGTCTCTCTTACATAAGCATGAGTGGTGGCATTAGACAGCCTCGGTGGCGCATTCCTTCATCAGCTTAGATATTTTACAGAATGTAAATATAATAGGTGATCTTTATGGGGCATTTAAAGTATATTGAAGTAGGTCAGAGCTTTCCAGTACCAGGATTTGGACTCATTACTAGTAGTAACTTTTTGGTGTTTTCTCACAATCCTGACTTTTTAAGAAAGTAGAGTAAGATCATAGTAAATATAAATTTTTTATCCTGCATTTTTCCTAATATCACCATGTCACAAGCTTTCTATAAACAAATAACTTTAATTGACTGAATTGTTTTATCAAAAATTATACTGTAATTTATTTGACCAATTTCCTCATGTTTCCTTTTTTTTAAAAAAAATTAGAACTCATGCAGTAATGAACATCTTTTTATTATTCTTCCTCAATTCTGATTTAAAAAAATCTTATGCAAGATTTTTGTAACAAGAATTACTGAATCAAAGAATGTGAACATTTTTTAGGGCATACGTTAAGCCTCATAGAATGTTTAATTCTGAAAGTCCAAATCTCGGACTAGGCTCACTCTCAAAAAATTAACCACTCTCATTATTAAGCTGTAAAAATACAGATTTTCCTGAATTAGTGCAAGGTTTGCAAAATGTTGGAATAAATGTGTGCTCAGGTGAAAATTTCCAGATTGTGACACATGCCATTAAATAATAATAATGAATTCTAATCTCATGACCAGTTTTTGGCTTAGCTAATTCTTAACCAGTTTATTTCACTAGGTGAATCATTTTCTTCCCTTAACTTTTTTAAAAATAATATCTTCAGTGTAAAAGAATTCAAAAGGCACAATAGGATTTTTAGTGCAAGGTTGCCTGCAGTCCCTCAGTCAGTTCCTCTCCACACAGGCATGTGTTACCATTTCTTGTATATCCTTTGAGAGGTTCTGTGTACAAGCCACATGTAAAATATATAATATGTTAATATATGTAATATGCATAGTCTTTCTCCCACTTTCTTTATATACAAATTAATTTTATAGCACTAGTTCTTAGCAGCTTAGAGTAAGTAAGTTTATTATATAGTTCTAAAAGTCTTCAAAACAGTATAATTCAGTGGTTGGCAGTGTATTCACAGACTTGTGCAACTATCACTACAGTCAATTTTAAACTATTGTCATCACCAAAAAAAGAAT